GAAAAGACCTCATAGGTATTTCTCTCTATATAACTCAGCTCACCATTTTATACCTCATCTTAATCTCTCATCCTCTGTATCTTTAGCTCACTGCATCTATCTTCTCTTCAAGATGGGATCAACCGTGGCGACCACTCTCCTCCTCCTCCTAACGGCAGTCCCTGCCATCTTCGCCGTGACTTTCCAGGTCGGCGATACTGCTGGTTGGACCACTGGGGTCGATTACACAACTTGGGTCACTGGAAAGACTTTCAGAGTCGGTGACACTTTAGGTAAAAATAAATGTTTGTTTGATTACTTGCTTCACACACAAGAAACTTTAGGTTGAAAATCTTCAAATACATATTACTTTGATCACAAGAAACCAATTTTTCTTCCCCTAACAAGCTAATGATTGTCATTTGTACAGAGTTCCAGTATGGTCCTTCGCATTCAGTCTCTGTGGTGGGTAAAGCCGGGTTTGATAGCTGCGATGGAAGCGGAGCCACGCAGAGCTTTTCCGATGGAGACACTAAGTTCGATCTTACAACAGTTGGAACAATACATTTCCTTTGCCCTACTCCTGGTCATTGCCTCAGTGGCATGAAAATCGCCGTTTCCGTCCTCGCCGCAGCTCCAACTCCGAGCACTCCTTCTCCACCGTCTTCCCCAAGATCGCCACCGCCTTCTCCACCGTCTTCCACTCCTTCTCCGCCGTCTTCCCCCAAATCGCCACCATCTCCACCGTCTTCCATTCCTTCTCCAAGTAAACCACCGACTCCATATGCTTCTCCGCCGACGGAGTCAGATTCTCCATTGACACCTCCACCACCACCAAACGCGGCGTTTAAGGGAGTCATGAGCTATGGAGTGATCGGAGTCACGATGGTATTGATGTATGGTGCTATATGAGCTAAATTAGAGGGTTGAGACAGAGCTTTTTTTGGTCTAGATCTTTGTCTTTGGAAGCATTTCCTCACCAACACGGTATCATTATCATCATGTATGTTCTACACGATTATTGAGTAAATTATTAAATCATATTCTATTATTTTGATTTATTAAGATGTCATGTGAGACAATTCTTGTAATTCAGCCGGAGCTGAATTAAAACAAACATATTGTTTCTTTCTTTCATAACCAAGACAAATTTCATATGTTTATGAAGCATTTGAGTACTTTTGTAACTAAATCATTGTTCCCTATACATATTTTACAAACAATGAAAATTTGAGGAAAAGTTTGAGCTGATTGCACATGGTTAGTTCATCATTTACAACGAAAACAAATGAAAAGAATCAAGAATTGGTAAACGTAAACAATGAGTTTGAAACAA